CCGACCAGCGAACGTGACAGGTCACACTGACAGATAAAATTAATTCATGATGTGGTGAAAGTGCCAAAATTAAATAAATAGTGAAATAATTGTAAATGACACATGTAATTAATAATGATTTTATTTCTAATGGTAGATATAATTCATGGCACATTTAATTAACGATATTTTTATTTCCCATTTTAAATAATTCATGACACATTTAAGTAATAATTTATCTTTATATTTCCCATTTTAAACAATTCATGATACATTTAATTAATTAATTATTGGTGTATTTATTTATTTAATTTTGGCACTCTTAGCCCTCCATATGTATGTGCTTGTCATTTCTTGTAAGTATGTGCCACATTGGAATAGCGTTTTAAAGTGTTTTATGTGTTTTGTAACAATCGTTTGTTGAGCTACTCCTTTTTTAAATTTGGGACTTTCATTTTGAAATGTCGCGGTCTGTCTAAACCCCTAGTGAACGCGTTAATTTACACCAGGAGCTGCATTATTTTGCTTTTTCACAATTTACTGGATATAATAATTGAATAACCAAGGTGTGCATGTGATTTCACAAACACACACGAATTTGTGAATGTGCAATTTACTATGTTTTGTAATGTTTTAGAGTAAATTCAAAGGTGATCTGTGAATGTCTGGTGAATATCGAACCCACTGCTAACTTTACTCCAGTTAGATACCTAGGCTAAATACGCCAATGTGATGGGGGAATTAAAAACTTAAGGACACACATACATTTTCATATTTTAATTTTAATCTCTATCTAGTCATTCTATTGTGAGTCTGGATATCTATATGCGTCTAAATTTTGCAAATGTTTTATGTTAATACAACTCTTAATCTATAATATATGAGATTAGATTTCGACAACAAACACTGTGGCAGTGGAAATTAAATTGCTTATTTATGCATATTCATGTATCTGCTATACTTATTACCAGTCCTTTGTTCTGGTAAATTATTTGTTCTCCCTCCATTACCATGTTCTGGCAGTGTCAAGCGAGTACATTATAATTAGGATATTTATAGGCAAATACATGTGATTTTACAGTGTATTGTTGGTGTGTTGGTGTACGCGGGGATGGGGTGGAGACGGTTTTGGTGCACGCGGGGACGGGGTGGAGACGGTTTTGGTGCACGCGGGGACGGGGTGGAGACGGTTTTGGTGCAGGCGGGGACGGGGTGGAGACGGTTTTGGTGCACGCGGGGATGGGGTGGAGACGGTTTTGGTGCACGCGGGGACGGGGTGGAGACGGTTTTACCCTGGACTGTTTGACCCTGTTGTTTTTCCCTGAACCATTAAAGCCTCCTAACTTCACATCCGCATCTGAGTCCTTATTACAGTACTTGCTGTCACAAAGTGTTAGCTCTAGGCTCCTTCAACAAGGACTTTGAAAATCAAGGAAACAGTTTAAAATCAAGTGGAGGAAGAGCAGTTTCCTTTGTGAAACCTCAATTCAAACTTGTCTAGATTATAAGCAAACAGCTGTGTAATATGTTAGCACAAGGATCCTGTTTGCATTGGGTTTTTTGTACACTGCTGAGGACACGTGTAGGTAGGAATTATAGGCACACATCTGCACTCGTGCGTGTTCTTGGTGTGTTTTCCATAGAATAAACATTGGTGTGAATGCTCTTCCTGGACTCTTTTTTTTGTTGTTGTGAGTCAGGGCTTGTGTACTTGTGTGGGAAAAGAGAAAGCTGAAACTTGCCGTGGGATAGAGGCACAGTACTTGACCCCAGTCTCCTGGTAATCTTTTATACAGATCAGTAAACATGCACCAGGGCAGACTGTGCTAGACAATCTCCAGATTGGCGTTTGAAGAAGAGGATTTCGGAGACGCTGCCGATTCTCCTCCAAGGGCTGTCTGCTCTCTTTCTCTCCAGCAGCACGAACTCTGAGCGAAGGTCTGGAAGTCTATTAATCATTTTATAGGAAAGATATCAAATTATAATGCATTGTAACTATATACATTTGATTCTTCACATTATGTGTTTTTTAATCGTTATATTAAAATTCTCTCTCTCTCTTTCTGTGTATATATATATATATATATATATATTTATTTTTATTTTTTTTCCTTAAGAAAAACATTCATGACCATTGTACATTTTCATGCTGATGCTTTTTTACTGCATTAATTAAAATTTTTTAGCTTTAGGTAAATCAGGACAAGCTGTAAGAAAATGGATGTTTGCAAAATTTACCCATACTCTATTTTATACCTTGTTGTTGACTACATTTATATTAATCATATAATTAATCATATAATTACATAACTGATTCACAGTCTACACTGTTTCTCGCATATGATTGGCAAGATCTGTGCAGGAATCAGGAAAAAAATGTATTCTGCTATTGTGTGCCATAGTTTTACGTTAGGAACAATGTCTCAAAATCAAACTGTATTAAAATTTGGGTGTAACACAGGTGCTAACCAGCTGATCAGTTAGTTGGGTTTGAGGTCAGCGACGGTCACGGTCAGGGAAAGACACCTAAACATGTTTGACAGGGGAGGAGGGAGAAATGATAAAAGGATCAGGCAGAGAAAGAAAGGCTGAACGAGAGCTCTGTGAAGCGGAGAGAGGACAAGAAAGCGGCAGATGTGAGAAAGCGAAGAAGAAGAGGCAGGGAGAGAGAAAAGAACAAGGGATAAAAGAAGAGAATGAGGGAAGAGAGACAGGAAGCAGGGGGTGACACGCTGCCCCCATCAGAGCTGGGACTGGCGTGCCGGCGTGAAGTGGCCAGCGGGGGAGCTCTAACAGCCATGCTGTGTGCCGCTTGGGCCCGTTTGCATTTGAAAGCGTCTGGCCACCCCCAGAGCCCCAATGCTTTATTGTGCGATCTTATCTGGCACGTGCCTGAGATGGCCTTTCCCACACCATGCGGCGAGCGGGTGGGCATGCGAGGGGGCTCCACGTCCGGCCATCAGCATCACGCCAGCTTGACAGCCGTGACTTCATGGCCCGTCAGTGCTCTGCCTTTCTTCCAGAAGATTCCATAGCGAGACCTTTTCATATTGCCCGCGTCACCCTCCCCCGTACCCATCCCACCATCCAGCACCCCCCAGCTTCCCAATTTTAATCGGTATCCTTCAGGATTAGCTGTCCACCTTTCTGTGACAAGTCGAGGTATAGAAGCGTTTCTTGACGTACGCACAGGCAGCGAGGGAAGCATAGTCCCCCGCTATAAAGAGACTCCTTCCATCTCGCTGTCAGCCACTTTGCTCCAGGACGCCTGTTCCCACCAAGCCCAGACAGACCCCCAACCAACATGATATTAAAAAAAAGATATCTAACATTCATTTGATTTAAAAAAGGACAGATCTTGCTCCAACTGAATGACTTAAAAAAAGAAGATGAATGTCCTTCCTGTATGTCTGTTAACATGTTATTCATCTATGTTGTCCCATCACGTAGCACATAGTGGTCAAGGTAGACTAATGCTCTTCAGATAAGGGAGTAAGACAGTGACATGCAATATTTTTTGGTACTCACATAATACATCACTTTATTACTAAATGTTACATGCGTGTAATGGTCATGCTTTCCTCTGTTTCCCATTTAATCCTGGCATTGTCTGTTGGTTTTGAAGGTATTATACTTCCAGTTGCCCTGGTTTTCCTTCAGACAGCATCCTGCTCTAATCAGAGGCTGTTTGTAAGGGGATGAGCTGATATGACTTGTTTTACTCCAGTACTGGCAAGGGGCGGGGGAGGGGGGGGGGCTCTGAATTGAGGTCCTCCTGGGTCGTCTGACTCAATTTCTGCTTCATCCCTGCACCCCCAAGTGCAGGCCCCTTCACACCCGAGCAGTAGGCATGCTGCCCCCCCCCCCCCCCCACTCTTCCACCCAGCACTGTCACTCCCAGGAAGCATGGGAAGCTGCCTCCCAGTTTGTGCCCAGGGAACAGACGGCAACCTAGACAGCTCGGCTCGGGATGATAGAATTCAGGTGTGCCTTGATTTCTTTCTCAAGGAATGTCCCATCAGCCAGCCCTGTGGAGGACACCTCACAACCTCAACATTGCACGGCCAAGGAGCCACTGCGTTACATTTCAAATTAAAGTGTGGAAAAACAACAGAGTGTAAATGTTGTAGCTGTAATGCCTGATACATGCAAAAGCTGAAATAGTAACTGTATGTATAGTAGTCAATTCTACCTGCAGACATTCCAAGGCCTTTTCCTTACCATTGTTATGACCTCCAAAAATAGTATAACATCCATCCATTAAATAGTATAACATCCATCCTTCCATTCCCACTTCTCCTGTGCAGTGTCTCAGAGGTCCAGAGCCCGTCCCAGAGGCTAGAGGTGCAAGGAAGGGAATGTGTAACATAATTGTATTGTATCATATAGTTTACATTTATTTATTTAGCTTTTTTTCCAAATGGATGAAATTAGAATCAGAGAGCAAGTCAGCCAAACCTTGGAGGGATTTTAAGGGCCTTGCTCAAGGGCCCAAGGATGACATGGTTACTCTGCCAGACATGCGATTTGAACCCATGATCATCCAAACAATGGCACAGATCCCGACCCTACTGAACGACGTGTCGCTCTTTACTATTATCATGCTGAAGCATTTGCTGGCTGGCAGAGCCTTCTGCAGCTTCCAAGGTAAATTCAGTGGTAAATCCAGTGGGCCAGCAGCGATATGGTATCTTAACCCTAACTGCACTGTTTCCTACTCTATAACAGTCAGGTGCTTCTGATGCATGGTGATTATGATGCTGTTGAGACCTGTTTTATGTGTGTTTGCTTCCAACCATATACTTGGTCTCTCCAGAGACCTCTGTCCCAGTTTGCAGAGTCAAGTTTTGGATTAGAATTAGGGTTAGGTTTTGAATTAGGGACAGACTTTGGATTACGTTTAGGGTCAGACTTGTGGATTAGGTTTAGGGTTAGGTTAGGGCAGGGTTACCCAACCCTGCTCCTGGAGATCTGGTATTTTGATGTTTTAGAAGGCCCTGCTCAATGGTCCAGGTAACTGTTGGATAGCAGCAAGGTAAGTAAGACAGACGACCTAAATAGAATGAATAAACGAATGAATACACAGAAAAGAAAATTTATTTTAAAAGAGGGAAAAGAAATAATGTTGTGACTGTACTGTGATCCGTCCCAGGATAGGATCCAGGGTAGAAGGTTTCTTTAGGTTTACCAGTAATAGGAATATTAAAACTATGGATTAAAGATGAGATGTGAAATATTACAAAGGTCCCTATTGGAGATGAAAGAAAGTGAAATGAGGATAGGGGAAGGGGAGGGAAAAAGGGGGGTTAGGGATTGGGGTAAGGTGGTCCATGGGTTCAGACTGAAGGTTAAGGTTAGAAGAGGAGATGGGTTTGGGGTCCCTAATGTTGAAGGGACAGAGATTAAAAACATTAAATGTTTGGGGACTGCAGTATAGGTAGGGGCCCTCGGTAAAGGAAAGGGAAGAGATCCTGACCATAGGATATTATGTTTGAAAGAATGGTACCCGTATTGCTGAAGGTTTTGTAATAATCAGTAACCGTAAGGGACAAAACCAGTTTTGAATGGAATATCTTAATTTCCCTTTCTTGACAAAAAAGGCAGAAATATTGCAGTGTTTTATTTTTAAAGTAAATAATGTTTAAAATTTATGGTGGAGAACACTGGAGAGACCCACTAATTGAGAGTAATCTGAATTACTACATTTTTAATAATAAATATGTCCATACAAACATAGTTAAAACATGAAATTATTTTAGTAATAAAAATGGATAATCAATTAACTCATCAAAAGTCATTACATTAAAATACATTGATTAACTTAATCAATGTATTTTAATGTAATGTATTTATAACCCATGGAGTTATAAATAGCAATGGTTAAGAAAATTGCTTCAAAAGAGTCATCACTGTCTGATCCCCTCGTTTCCTCTCGGGTGTTACTCTAAACTAGCCATGCCTGGGGCTTATCAGTCTTATCTCGTTCTTTCCCTCCTGTTAACCAGTTACAGCTGCCATCTGTTTGCCCCCTTATTAGTCAGGTATATTAGCGTGTCCCAGTCTTGTGCTCCCTGATCAGCCATTGTTGTCTGTCAGCGCCTGTAATCCTGTGTGGTTGTGACAAAGTCACCAAGCCTACAGCCTGCATTTTGGTCATGCCTTACCTCTGGACATGACAGTATCTCCTCATTAGAAGAGAAAAGTGCTTGATTAGTTCATAAAAGAAATCACTCACACTTCAAACATAGTAAATGTTTTAGTTTTATATAGAAGATTTTAAAAAAAGTTGGTATTGTGAAACCATTCATGACAGGTTGTGAGTAAAGCCCTATCACGCTCCTTTGTCTCTCAAATTTCCCCCACCAAGTAACTGCCCCACTTACCTCAGGTTAAACCCCAGGGAGATCCACATCTGTAGCTGATGAATCCACCTGTACTCCTTGCTGCGTCTTTGTTTCAGTGACCAGTTACAATTTGCTTCCAACCGGCAGAACATAATATTATCATGGCCATGTTGGTGAAAATATTGTACCGGGATAGTACGTTTAGTATTATTAGATAATGTGTACAAATATTGTTTCAGACAGTACAGAATTTGTTCTGTGTATCCCCAACATACGTCTTATCACAGTGTTTGCACTGGTTAAGGTAAGTGGCATTATTAGTTCCCAGGGTGATGTTATCCTGTATGGGTATTATGCAATCATTCTTTGATATTAGATTAATTGGTTTAAAAAAGAATTGGTTTCCTGTTTTATTATTTGTATTACTGAATGATATAGTTACAAGTTTTTTTCATGTCATACATTATTGCAATGTAAATGTTTTGATGTAGTAACTTTTTTCTCTGATGACTAGAGTGAATTTTTTCAGTTAAAAGGCAACTACTAGCCTTACCTTGTGAATGTCTTAGTTTCCAGCATATAGTTTTTAGTTTGTGTGGTCTTCAGGAGAACGTTTCTCGGTCTCCTTATGGTAAGGCAAGGCAAGTTTTTATTATCATACACAGGGGTTATTTAATGTGCTTTATAAAAACAAGATTTTAAAAAGTTAAATCAAGACAAAAAAAAGCAAAATAGAGATGGAAAAAAAACTTATTTGAATAAAAATTGCTTAGAAAATCTAAAAAATCTGATTAAAAGTGCAGTATGTCCTGCCCCGCTGGTATGCTCCTCCCGTGTACCGCACCCCCTCGTTAACCCCGTGTGGATTCCCCGTGTTTATCAGCTGTTTCCAGTTGTTTTCATTATCGCTGATGGGTCTGGAACGTAACTTCCGCTATAGGCGGGGGATCACTATATATTTTAAGGCTTAAACTATAAAAAAGTTTATGTACACTACTCACAATAAGTTACGGACATTGTTATTTACATGAGTGCTTTTCCTATTTCCTCTGAATTTTAATGAAATAAGTAAAAGTTCCCTTTGATATTACTAATAATGTATGAGAAGAAACACCATTTTCATTAGTTTAATATTTATTACCCCAAAAATTTAGACAATAACAGGGATAGCCCCAAATAACAAAAATTGACAATGTCAGTAGCGGGTGTTTCCACCATTTGCCGCAATGACAGCTTGACAGCGACGTCTCATGCTCCTCACTAGCCTCATGATGTTGTTCTGAGGCAATGCGTTACACTCTTCCACAAGTGCTACATGCAGTTCTGCCAGGTCATGTGGGGGTGGGGTACGATCATCCAGTCTCTGCTTCAACTGGTCCCAGACGTGCTCTATGGGGTTCAGGTCAGGGGACATTGATGGCCATACCATATGAGGCACTCCAACCTCCTGAAGTCGAGCTGTGACAATTCTGCCACGATGTGGTGGAGCATTATCATCCATGAACAGAAAGTTTGAGGTGTGCTGGCAGAATTGGGGGATGATGATGGGTTGTATGATGTCTCTGAGGTAAGAACGTGCAGTGACTGAGCCATGTACAATAACCAAATCTGTTTTGCGCTGACTGGTGATGCCTGCCCAGACTGTTGCACCTCCTCCACTAAAGCAAACCCTGGGGACCATGTTGACCTCAGCGTATCGCTCACCTCGCCTTCTCAAGCAACGCTGACAACAATCATTTCTGTGCAAGGTGACCCGACACCCATCAGTGAACAGGACGGTAGACCACTGCTGCATTGTGCAGGTCACATGGTCTTGTGCCCACTGCAAACGTCCACGGCGGTGTCTTGGTGTCAGTGGAGTCACCTGCAACGGTCGTCTGGCATTCAAGCCAAAGCGGTGGAGTCGGTTGCGAATGATTTGTCTGGAAACCCTAGTACCCCTCGCATCTCGTAAACAGGCCTGCAGCTGTGTGGCAGTTGCATGACGATGTCTGAGAGCATAGGTCCTTAGGTACTGGTCATAGTTGCGGTCTGTCACTCGTGGGGCTCCACTCCTGGGTCTGTCATGAACTCTGCCAGTAGTTCTGTGTCTTGATGCAAGTCTGCTGATGACACTTTGAGACACACCAAGTTCACGAGCAACATCTGACTGCCTGCCACCGACCCGAAGGCGCGCCATGGCCAGGTGGCGCTGCTCGTCCGTTAAGTGACGTTGTGTGTTCATGGCTGTTTGAATGATGAACTTGGAATGACTTACTGACAATACCAGCTTTTTATACCCACAGGATGTTGAAATTGATGCCACATTGAAAAGGGTTGTCTTTTGGTATTGGCCCCAATTTAAGGCACACCTGTACACAATGAGACCATTACATGGAAAACACAAAATGAGGTGTGTCTATCACCCCAATACAATTGCCTCCCTATCCCAAAAATGTCTGAAGTGAAACAAACACCGTATGTATGTCTCTCACAATATCCCTAACTTATTCTGAGTAGTGTATATGGTCTTTCTATATCGCGGATTTTCACCTATCGCTGATGGGTCTGGATCCCCCACCTATCGCAGAAGTTTCAGCGATAGGTGAAAATCCGCGATATAGAAAGACCATATACATAAACTTTTTTATAGCTTAAGCCTTAAAATACCACTCCCACATGCTTTAAACACATGTGAACTTATTAAAACGCACTTTGTAAACACATATGATATGTGGATGTTGGGCTAAGGATATGAGTGACATAAAATATGAGATTTTCTGGTATCATTCGAATGTTTCTAGTAATGCATCGTGTTGGTCTTAAATTTTTACTCATAATGGTCTTAAAATGTCTTAAAAAGGTCTTAAATTTAACTTACTGAAACCTGAAAGAACCCTGCTCCTCCCAATCTGCCATATAAGTGTTGATGTATGCCGAGGCAAACATCTTGCCCATGGCCATCCCCTATACTTGGAGGTATATCCAGTTATGAAATTCAAAATCATTCTAAGGTTAATTTCTAGGAGTTCTTAAATTTGTCTCTCTGGTCTGTATACATCTGGGTATTTCAAAAAGGCTTTTTGTACTGCTTGAAATCTCAAAGGCGTAGATATATTAATATACAGACTATTAATATTCATTCTAAATAGGAAAGCTTCCTCCAGTACCTGGACCCCTTGCAATTTATTCATGAAATTGTAGGTATCTTTAGGTAACTATTGTGCTGTTGTGAGATGCGATTTACAAAGTCGCTTAAATATTGTGCAGTATGGTAAGCGTTGCTGCCACAATCTGAGACAACAGGTCTCCATCTGGAAACCTCACCAGAAACCGTCCATGATGTCTGATCTATGTGGATCTTTGACAGCAAGTAAAATAATCCAGAAAGGGGAATGTCTGAATCCATTACATATTTTTTCTGTTTTAAAGCGATTAATTGTTTCATGTATAAAGTATTAAAATACTGTTGATTAATTTAGCCATTTCCCCTTCCAGTGAGTGTGTTAATGGGATGTGATCAGTTATTTAGTTGTCTCATGGCTTCCAGTTTGTATTGCTGTGTGACCCTAACCCTTATCTGTTGATTTGATTCAAAATTTCAAGAATTCAAAAATTTGGGCAGCTCTGTCTTTCGTCCAGTGGGCTGGGTCCCTGGCTTCTAGTTTAAAACATCATTTTTTTAATTCCAGTAGCGGAACCCCCTGGGACTCAATGTAGTTGTTTAGAATTTGCAGATTGTTTTGCTCTTCCCTAGGTAGTAAGTGTGAGAAATGAATGATAGTAGCATAGATGGAGGTGTTTGGAAAAGTGATTTTCTGTAGAGGCCTTGTAGTTGCTTTATTGTAGTTTTGTATGGTTGTCATTCGCAGTTATTGATACCTACAGAAAGGACAACTTTCTGTGTCTATGGTTGTGGGGGTAGTTTTTGTAGGACTCGGATTTGGGGAAAATTAGCCCCAGGAAAGCTATCCACTTGTACGTGGGGGTCTTTGATCTAAGGGATTGTGCTTGAATCTCCAATAAAGATAACAGGTTTGTGGACCTTCAGTGACCACTCTATATTTTTTCTATCCATATTAGGATGTGTATGTGGTCTGCATATTTTTACCTTTTCAAGGTCCCTAAAATCTTCCTTCAGTGTTATAGAGGAATTTGGAGATTTTAATGCAGGGGGTTGTAATGCATTATGTTCTGTCACTGTCTGTAATTTAAAAAATGAGGGTTCATATTGGGTTTTGACTGGGGGATTACAATCCTTTTCTTGCCCATTCATCATTATATCCTCCCTTTCTTTCAGAGCTATAACTTCTAGGGTGCAGGGACCTATAAAAGAAAAATCCTGGGGTGAGTATTTCATCCTGGATGTTTATTTAAAATATCCCTTAAAGGTGGATTACGGCTATGTACCATATCATGTACTGATTTGTTTTGGGTACGTACAAAGTTGGTAATTCAGGGGCCTTTGATTACATTTTTTCTCTTTCCTGTTAATTACAGTCATTGGCCTCTAAGGGACTGGCCCCTTTACTGGGCAAATACTGCCACTGCAAGTAGTTTTATCTGTTTAGATAGTTTATGATGTTAAGATAGAGCCTTTATGTTCTGATTAGTTTTGTTCAAAGTGTTAAGCCTTAATTCTGCTTGTATCTATTCTTGGTCCATTTACTAGCCATCTCCTATTCTCTGTCTCTCCACGTGTCCAGTTTATTTTAAGTTTCTTTTAGATAATGTTCCTGCAGGAGGTGTATAATTGTGTCCATCCACGAACATGTATTTGTAGATAATCTTTCCGTTGTGATGTTAGTGTTTATGGTTGGTTTTATAAATTAGTCACCTGTTTAAACATTAATTTGTAATGCATCCTCTACTGTTAAGTGGTGGGTGATGGGTAAGAGTTTATAATTACTTCTGGTAATTAGTTTATCAGATGGAAGCAATCATGGTTTGAATTACGGGGGGTACTGTACCCCCCGATCAAGACCCAGACCCCCCCAAAGAGACAAAAATAGCAGTTTGGGGGGGGGGGTCTTAAAATTTTTCTTTTGTTGTAAAAAAAAAAATGATAACCTCACCGTGTAGGAAAATTTTATGTAAAACGATTTCAGACACCCCTAATATGGACCGTACCATTTTAACTACCTTGGCGCTAGAAGCAGCCAGTCGGTCGCATTATTCATTCTTATTGAGTGACCTGTTCATTGTGTTCGTCTCTCATGGTACTGTTTGTCATGCGTTGGTAAATGTAAGTAGCCAGCAGAAGTCTAGCCTGTTGAAAATGTGTTATTTTACAACCTTCATTTATTCGTTTAAGTGTTTTATCGGCTAATGCAAGCTGACGTCTTTATAAGTTGAATTACTTACCATTGTCCTTCTGAGGCTGGTGTTCTGTCGAGTTGGTCAAACAATGCTTCAACAAAGTATTAGTTTAAAGGTATGCACACTTCTACAACCAGCTCATTGTACACTTTTTTTATATTCTCCTCAATTGAATTGTACAGGTATAGGTCACATTAAAGGTTGTTTTGAAACAATTTATTGTTTTCTCATTTCTTTTATCACAAAAATCTGTCATTTTAACAGGGGTTTGAACACTTTTTATATAGAGGATGACACTGTTGTTAATCACTGCCGCTTCCTCTTCAATCTCCTCTGTCTTGCGACTCACTCTGGTCTTAGCAGTGCATTTTGTTTCTTCCTCAGGATTTATTCTCACCAGGAATCTTTAGACAAGATGAAAGCAATTAGGAAAACATTGGCTAATCATTATTATGACACATGACATATTTACAGTTCATTAATGTATTACTTGTGTATTGTACTGCAGTAACACTTTCTAAAATCAGTATTTTTAGTAACATGACATTGCGGTCATTATGGTATGCTAACCAAGTTAACTAATATTAGCTCTTTTAAATTACAATAAATGCAACCTACGAATACTAAAGAAAGGTAACCACCCAACAATAGTTCAATAGTTTAAATGCTAGTTAGTGTGAGTATGTTTACATTTAACCTAGTTAAATTAATGTTAGCTTAGCTAATGCTAACCTAAGACTGATGTTAACACACGTTGTGAACCTCTATCAGAGAATATTACAAGCACTGCCTTGTAAATTAATCTGAACTTTGCCTGTGACTGCAACGGTTTCATAAATCCAATGATTAATTTAGCTTTGAAACAATAAACTAAAATCATCTGTAAAGTGAAATGTTAACCTGGTTTACCTTTGAAAAAGTTTTTGCTAACTACTGCTGACGCTAATGTTAAGGAGCAACAGTTTTGCCCATCAGACCTGACAACCTTGACTAATGCTAATGCGTTTTTAATAGTGACGCATTTACCTTTGCTGTTTGCCGTTTCTCAGTCCCAGAATAAAAATATCCTCATGAACCCCACCTCCGTTGCATCCATTGAATCACGCCAGAACCGCTGAACTGTAGCTTTACTTTCATGCATGTTGCGTCTGCTGAACTCCTTTCCTCATATAACCTGCCAAGCTGGTTTTGGCTCCCAGTCTGCTCTGTTAGGCAGAGTGCGTTGTTCAAATCACTCAAGTCAATGGTGATAATTACGTTGAGTCTTTATGAAAATAGTTGGCGCCAAAAGTAAATATAGTAATTAACATCAATTAAAAAAAATACAGTAAATATTTGAATATAGTGTATAGCGTCAGCCAAAACTCCCATGATACCGTGAAAACTACAGTTATTTACTGTAAAATTAATTTTCAGTATTGTACTGCATAGTATGTCGTAAATAACAGTAGAAATCACAGAAATGTCTGACAGTGCAGGTAACATGCAGTTCCCCTGGAGCTGGGGGTTAAAGGTCTTGCTCAAGGGCCCACAGACCTTCTAATTTATTCTATGGCTATTCTGTCAAGGCCAGGGCTCAAACTGGTGATACTTTGATCACCAAGACATCAAGACTGTGATCTTTCGATCACAGAGAGTTAGCCTGCTGAGCCAATCACCACCTAAGCATATTAGCCATGCAAATGTTACAAGTTAAAACAGATAATTACCCACAGACATGATCTGCATCTGCATTTATCTCACAACCTTAATGTTAAATGCCAGGTCCCAACTGTATCTGCATTAATACAATGCAGAAACGCAACTATTTTTTGTTTGGTTGTGTGGGTAACCTCTTTTTTGGATTATGGGTTAAAATACCAGAGGATATGGGCTAAGGGGTGGGGGGGCATACTGATTTTTGCCTATTGGCCCCCAAATCACTAAATCCGTCTCTGGGTACAGTATGATGTCATAAGTATGGTGCAGTGATATCAGACAGGTGATATTATGATGTGATGTCACTGTGAGATCATTATGAGATTAAGATTTGATGTCATACAGTCATGTGAAAACATTAGGACACCCCATTAAATGTTTAGTTCTTTATTAAGAAATATCAACATATCACTATTAAATCTTCTTTCAAATCATATGTGTAGATAAAGGTGATGTAACAAATTCACTTATTTAACAGAAGAAATTAACTATGATGCCAATTTCCACGTAGGAAAAATCCATTATTATTTAAAATGCCTAGAGTTAGATTCAGGTGCAGCACATCAGGTGAAAATGATTAGAACATTATTACAGAGCTTTTTGGTGGAGTCTGTCTTATTTATACCATAGACATTTAGTTTGGTTTGCTCTTGATTGTTGAAATGAGTGGGATCACCATGGTGAGATCCAAAGAGCTCTCTGAGGCCTTCAGAAAGAAGTATGTAGATGCATATGAGTCTGGGAAGGATATAAAAAGATCTCAAGACAGTTTGGAATCAGCCATTCCACTGTCCGGAGAATAATTTACAAGAGGAGAACATTTAAAACAACTGCCAGTATGGCCAGGGCAGGTTGTCCTAGCAAGTTCAGCCCAAGAGCAGACCCCAAGATGCTGAAATAAGTCTCCAAAAATCCTAAAATGTCATCACAGGTCATACAGGAAGCTCTTGCCACAGTTGATGTCAAAGTACATACATCTACCATCAGAAAGAGACTGTGCAACTTTGGTTTACATGGGAGCTGTGCAAGGAGGAAACTCTTGCTGTCAAAAAAATACCAGGGCAAGACTGAAGTTTGCCAGAGACCCACCTAGACAAAGACCGGGACATTTGGAACAATGTACTTTGGAAAGATTAATCTGAAATTGAATTATTTGGACATAGTAACAGAGGACAGTTTGGTGTAAGCCAAAGACATATTTTGAGCAAAAGAACCTCATGCCAACTGTGAAGCATGGGGGTGGAAATGTCATGCTTTGGAGCTGCTTTGCTGCAGCAGAACCTGGCCAGCTCACCATCATAGAATCTACTATGAATTCTTCATCATATCAGAGGATGCTTGAGGACAATGTGAGATCATCTGTCCAAAAGTTGAAGCTGAAGTTGGGGTGGATCATGCAAAGGACAATGACTCAAAACATTCCAGTAAATCTACCAAGGAATGGCTTACAAGAAAGAGTTCTGGAATAGTCAAGTCAAAGCCTGGATCTGAATCCTATTGAGATGCTGTGGGGTGATTTGAAGAGGAAATGTATGCAAGACCCCCTTCAAACATCACACAGCTTAAGGAATTCTGCATTGGAGAGTGGGGAAAACTTTCTGCCAGTCGATGTCAGAGATTGATAGATGGTTATAGGAAACGTCTCATTGAAGTTATTTCAGCCAAAGGGGGAAATACTAGCTATTAGGGCATAGGGTGTCCTAACTTTTTCCTCAGTAGGCACTGGCATCTTAGTTAATTTCTTTTGTGAAACAAGTGAATTTGTTTCTTGTTTTTTCATCGATCATGCAATTAAATCACCTTTATCTACAAATATAATTTGAAACAAGATTTAATATTGATATGTTGATATTTCTTAATCAAGTACTAAATATTTAATGGGTGTCCTAATTTTTTCACATAACTGTACATGTTAGATATTTATGACATCATAGTGATATTTAATATATATCATGTCCTGGCTGGGCAGTCATATGCCTGATGAGGCAGAGCTCATCTCTGTGGAGCTGTGTCAATGTTCCCGATTGGTTTTATTTTTGCTAATTTAATTACAGTCAATATATATATATTGACTGTAATAAAATTATATACAGTGGTACCTCGGTTCTCGAACTTAATCCGTTCCAGACTCCGGATCGAATCCTAAAAAGTTTGAGTTCTGATCGAATTTTTCCCATAAGAAAAAATGGGAAGATGGGAAAATGGGAAGACGACTTAAAACACACCTTTTCCAGAAATACCTGAATTAGCACTTCTGGCATTAAAATTGCATTACTTAAATCGATGGTATTCATAGCCTTGGTTTTTACTGAGCTAGTATCCGGAAAAATTCATTGTGGAGTCTTAAAGCACTTATGTAAGTCGCTCTGGCTAAGGGTGTCTGCCAAATGCTGTAAATGTAAATGTAAATGTAAAAAATGGAAAACCAATTAATTGGTTCCCGGCCCCCCAAAATTACACCTAAATATGTTATTTATTTATTTATTATTATTTTTTAGCATTTAAACACAAAATGAACAGGATAAAACAAGAAGAGCATTTTTTTCTTAATGGCTTCCAAAACGATAAAGATCTTACCCCTGTGCTGCCCCGATCGTCCGCTCCTTCTGTGTGCCACGCCTCCTCGTTAACCTCGTGTGGGATCCCCATGTGATCAGCTGTTTCTGGTTGTTGTCCTTAGTCCTCTGTATTAAGTCCGCGTTTCAGTTTGTTTCCCCAGTCAGGTCATTGGGTGCGTTCGACTTGCTTACAGCGCTGGCTTAAAGCAACGCATTCTGATCCTGACGCAATGCCTTAGAGAAGGGTCCAGCTGCAGACGCCTGTAGAGTGGAGCTCCACCGGAAATACGTCACCTCCATAGGAAACACGTGGCCTCAACTCTGTGTCACAGCGAATAAACCCTAACCTTAACCTTAACCCTAACCCTAACCGGAGCTCCACTTTACGTCCTTAAAGATCACGTGTTTCCTGTGGAGGTGACGTATTTCGGGTGGAGCTCCACTCTACAGGCGTCTGCAGCTAGACTCTCTTGTGGATGCCTTACGGTTAGATGCATTGCGACCTCTCACCCAGCTGCACAAACTGCAACTGCCTCCGTGACGACACACCTTTGCCCTTATTGGCTGAAGAGTTTAGTTACACGCATGACGTTTGTATCCCAGGCAGTTCCAATGCGTAATCTGCTATTTCTCCCGAATATCACGTAAAGCAGTGAGAACTGGTTTTCAGTTAATTTACCTGGTAAAATAAAGTTTAAACAAATTACATAAATGCTCTAATAGTACACGTAAGTTAGTGGTTTATTTATTGTTAGTTACTGTAATGTTGCACTGCTTTATTTGATTAATCGTCCAGTCTGTGAAGAAGGCATTCAAGTAAGAATTGCATTGTTGTCTGTACGTGACAATAAAAACTTTGAATCTGGTCCATTGTTTATTTTTATTATTACTCTGTATTCGTTAATTTGTTTGTGAATAGCAAACTTTTAGGTTGTAACATTTGTACAACTATTACGTAACTTTTTGGTGAGCAATGGCTAACAAAATGATATAAAGTACAGTGTATTACCTGATACAGTATTTTCAATAAAATAGCATTATCACCAACAGGCTGACACTGAAGCGTTACCTTTTGTTTCTGCTCAGAGACGTGCCGTGTGACTCATTTCCTGGCGTGTGCAATTTATATTAGGTCAGCGTTCACGGTTCGACTTCTGATATTCAAATCGAGTTCTAGGTCAAGCTGGTTTGTTCGACTTTCAAGAAATTCGAGTTCTAGTGAGTTCGAGAACCGAGGTACCACTGTATATATATATTATGAACTTTCAACTTATACATTTTCAGATATACGAATGAAGAGGACTGTAAGTCCTAATTGTGTTTATTGGGCTCCCGTTTCCTGTCCGCAACATCAGTTTTTTTTTCTGCACGCCAATTCCGGGTAGTACGACTTCTGGCCCCTACTCCCGCCGTGCAGCAGTGTAACGTGCGTACTCCCAGCATCCTAGTTCTTTGTACTTGTGTATACCCTTAAAATGATGTTGAATAATGACTTACGAACATTTCAAGTTACGAACGACCGTTCAGAACGTATCTCATTCGTAAGTAGAGGAGCGTCTGTATATATATTATGGAATCTTCTTAAGATATGATGGTAATTCAATATATATTTTTATGGCCAATTGATAATACTTAAAGGATTTGGGATTTGAAGATAATACATACAGATAAATCATCACAACTGTTGTTTTAGCAGCTGCAATTTTGATGACTGATTCCATTTAACAAATAAAGAACAGGTTAAATGAAGGTCTAGAACACTGGATGCCATCAGTGAGGGCTGCATAGCCATTTGAGAAAGGTCTCCTGTATCCCCTGCAGTCCCTCCCTGCAGCCGACCTGTTCATGTCCTCTGAAAATCTCGCTCTGGAACGTTAATTATAAACTAAAGATTTGTGACTAAGGGCTTAACCATGACTTTCCCAGGACAATTAAAATTACTTTGTTTTAGGGGGGGGCAAAGCTGAAGAGTGTCCCCTCTGTCCTCCCACAGGGACAGCTGGGGTGAGTAGACACGGATTACCCAATTCTCAGGGGAGTAATTGGCTGATGTGTGGGAAAATTCCGCTTGTCCTGCCTTTCCTCCTATAATCTCCCACAAATCTCTCCCTGCGGCCGCATAATTTAATAAGCCACTGAGTTGCTAAATCCTGTCTGCCTGGCCGATCCCCGCCAGGCCCAGCTCAACACTGTAAGGGGGCAGGTCCGTACGCTGCTGGGCCACATGCCATTGACATCCTCAGCCAGCCTCGCTTATCCTCTAATTTGCTGCCCTGTTCCTTTCACCAGGGGTTCCTGACCTCCGAAATCCAGGAGAAGAAAACCTTTCTGACAGGTGTTGTTATCCAAATTAGGAAGCCTAATTCAGGTAAAGCTCTGTCCACCAGGGTGCAGCAGGGGACGACAGCAGGCCTTTGCCCCCCATGGTCCAGAGTCAAGCATCCTGACTGCTACCCCCTACTGATTTCAGGCTGAGAGGACAGATTGGCCCTTCAGTTTGGTTAGTCAGGCCAGAAAGACGCTATTAGTGAAGGCAGCTAAATCAACATACAATCATGTTAAGAGGAAGAGTAGTGATTAGTAATGGGGATGGGCCAGGCATACATCGTGGGAAGGTCACTGGAGGTGGACTGGCAGAGACAGAGGCAACACCGTGAGGAACAAGTAGCAGGAAGTGAAGTACTCAGAATCAAAGGGTCTGACGAACATCACCATCAGTGGAAATGTGCTCCGGATGATATTAATTTGCAGATAGCCTTGCTCATATTACCACATGCATTGTATCATTTCAGTACAAAAACATATCATGTTTTTATATAGTCTCAAAAACATAACTATTTTTTGAAAATGTACCTCAGTTTCATTACATCCACTTAGGTGCCTTGTCTTTGTGGCTGTTGTTCAGTCATAGGTGACACACAAAGTGTGGATTGTTCTGACACTTAGGACAGATTTTCAGTTAATAAGGAATTAGTGTTATTAGTGTATAATATTAAGTGTAAAAGCTACCAGCATGGCATAAATACTTGAAACAAAATGTAATTTACTGATTATAAAAAAACTGCACCATTGTTTTAAGCATCAAACGTATATGAAAGAAATAATAAAACCTCAAAGAAAACAAATAAATAAGAAAACTGTTGAAAGTGGTGCGAAAGGTGATATAAAAAAAGAAATTGTTTGGAGTTCAGGTAAGGGTCATTGTCATTTGTCATAGTCAGATTTTATGTAATAAGGCAAGGGGAGTACCATACAGAATTTTCTGAACAGTCTTCTATTATGCAATATTAAAAAAGTTTTTTAAAGTTCCAGGGCATTTTATTGTTGGGGAAACAGCTGCAAAACAACAATAAGAAAATATATAGACTGAACATAGTCATCATCATTATCAGCTTTTTATACATATTCACAGCTGTGGTCCATTTAATAGCGACGCTAATATTTATTTCAGAATATTACGGGAGTGACTGGGTAAAAATAAAAGCAATGACAATGATGTTTTTGGGCGTTGATGCCATAAGAGGACTAACCAGTGATCCCTACAGAAACCGCAGGATAACAGTGAATGTGTTACATGTCAGACAGAAGAAGAGGGCCCAGAGAATTAAGACTAATGAGCCACTGATGGAACAGAGGGCAACGGAATTACAGTGGGGCCCCGCGAATAGGCCATGTGAGGGGAATGGGGGGGCACAGGCACACCTGCACAGCAAAATGCAGTCTGGCGATGTGCAGACAGCGAGCTGCAGACTCAGACCTTAAGCTGGGGGGTGCACAGGCACACCTGCACAGCAAAATGCAGTCAAGCGATGCGCAGATAGCAAGACACCATTTTCCTGCATGGAGCTGAGTGGCTTCTTAATTATTGTAGCTTACCTTATGTTTGATGTTTTTCCATCCAAAGTATTCCACACTTGAATAATGTAGTAGTATTGAAAAGTATTATAATTATTAAGTAATTAAGAAATATGTATAGGTAATAATATGAAAATATAAGAGTAATTTATGTGTATAGCCAGTTTTAATGGCTCTGCGGGTTTCAGATGTTCGTCTTTGGAGATTTTTGGAGAACAGAAGTGAATTTGATAGCTATAGTGAAAAATAGCATGCTTAAGCTCTGCAAGGAGCCATTCCCAAGAAGCAGGCAGCATCTGAAGCAGAAAAGACTCATTATCATCTACAGGAGGGAGTGCAGTAACATTCAACTTCATATGTAGCTTAATACTGAAATATTTACACTTGCTACATGTAAGCATCTCACTCAAAGTATACAAAAATACGACACTTCATATACACTCACCTAAAGGATTATTAGGAACACTTGTTCAATTTCTCATTAATGCAATTATCTAATTAACCAATCACATGGCAGTTGCTTCAATGCATTTAGGGGTGTGGTCCTGGTCAAGACAATCTCCTGAACTCCAAACTGA